GAGGGAGAGGGAGAGGGAGAGGGAGAGGGCATGCAAGATTTTTTTTTTTCTTGACTGCTTTTTAAAAATTCAGTTCCTTCATCTGCAAGCCCGTTGATTTTTTCAGAATTCTTATCTATGTTCTTATCTGCTTCCCTTCTGGTCCAGCTGTAACTTTCAAGATATCCTTACTGGACACATATTATATATCAGAATCATCTGATTTATTTGCTTCTGTGTCCTGCTAGCTTTACTACACCTTTAGGTTTAAAGAATTAGATCCTCCTTATTTCAAGTTACAATAGCCTACATTTACTTCAAGACAGAGCTCACCTCCTTTGTCTAGACTATTCCTTTCTCAAAGTACCTCCCAGAGCCTAATAAATTCTCCTCCTGCGCCTTCTTTTGCGCTGCCGGTTGTGATCCCATCTAACTGCAACTTCACATGGGGTTCAAAGCATTTCAAAGAAAATGAGCAAGGTGGATCTGCACCTCTATGCATACTTAGTTTGTAGGACACTTCCATTCTTAGGCACCAACATATTTCACAACTCTTGGTTCCTCCATAGAACATACTAACTTCAGCACAAGGGCAGACCAAAGTCTACCTGGTACAATATCCAGTTTCCACACCAGTAAATAGTATATGCTTGAGGAGAAAGGTAGGAAGAGTAGGAGGAAAAAAAAACAGCCATTTTTCTGTGGTATAGCCTCCCAGCTTCCTGCAGATTGTGACTTACATAGGTTTTTGCACAAGGTGTTGTAATAGCCACTTGGGGATTTATCCTCCACTAATTCATCCAAACCCCTTTAAGTCATTTACCTGTTGTCTTTACAACAACCCACAGCAAATGCAGTTTTGTAATTCAGGAATGTACATCATGAAAGCACGTGGGGTTTATGCTCAGTACCTGAAGTTTTCATGAAATCTTTTTTTCTTGATTAACAAGAAGCATAACTTCTCTACTCTTTCTGAGCACCGGTTTTTAAAATTTTTATCATTTCCCTTCCTCAGAAATTTTCTAAGCTAATCAATTCAGTCTCTCTTTATCCAAGAGTTACTATTATTGTCATATGCAGTATCTTTCCAATTCTTTTCTACTCTAAGACAGACTGACCCGAACTGTAACCAGTATTCAAACTGTGTGCATACCATGGAATTACATAATAGCATGATTTTTCCCCATATCGCTCACTCTCATAATTCTTGTAATTCTTTTTGCTTGCTTGATAGCAAGTACTGAGAGTTGAAGTTTTCAGACAACTGTCTATGATGATTTTAAAGCCTTTTCCTGAGTGACAACAGCTATACTAATATTTAGCCTGCTGAAAAGTCACACAGTATCTGCCAACTTGACATCCGTAGCCAGGTTCCACTATCACTGTTCTGTCTACATTTCTGAATACATGCCAGCTAATCAGAGCAAGTCTGTCTCTCCCCAGTTTAATTCCTTCCCTTACAGCGACCAATCAAACTTTTCAGGAATCATTCTCCACTACAATAGCTGAGACTATCATTCCCGCACTTACCTTTGTAAATTTTGTGATCTATATAATTCTATAATTTTACTCCACAGATTGACCCCGTGTACCTCTTCTCGACCCCATGCTACCCAGACTACACAAGACTAAAGGAACCGCCACCTTACTGATCCAGAATGGTAATTTCTACGTACACCCAGAATATATGTAATTACAGAGCAAAGAATCCAAACTCTTTTCAAGTAAGAAGAGTCTAGCACTAAATTTACTTACATAAAATACATTTAAAAGTCTACATTTAATGTGTTCTAATCTGTGTATATCAGCATTGGCATTTAAATATCCATGACATTCAATTCACACACTAAAAACCAGAACCAAAAATAAGTATCTTACTGCTTCTTGTAATAAAATATTTTATAGAATATTGAAATGTTCAATAAAAAGTAAGCAGTATAAGAAAATAAACAGTACTTTTAGAAAGACTCAAAAAATAGGAAGCTGTCATCCAACGCTGAATTAACACTTCTATGATTTAACCAATTATTAAACAAGCTCTCAATCATTTTATGAAGTGTCACTCAATCGTATATTTCATGGCCTGTTCATTTTGAAAAAAGAATAGAAGACTTCAATTAATATGATATGACAAACATGCCTAGGTAAAAGGTAGGTGCATTCTTTACTTCATTAAAAATGGGTGACATCTGAAGATACTCTAATTTTCCAGGCATATTAGCTGTTTGGTCACTTTGGGCATGGAGAAAACTAGGGGAATAAAAGGAGCAGCATAAGTACCTTAAGTACTCTGCAAAAGATACTGACATCTTGGTCCTATCTGCATTGTTTAGGAATTCTTTACGTAATTCCCATAATGTTTCCTTTGAAGAGATACCTTAATTAGCAATACTGCTCAAGTGCACAACATGTGTTTATGAATATTTCAAAACATATTTGTTTACAGTTTTCAGCGATTCTCACACACTAATAAATTAACGCATGTGCTCCTCCTCCATCCGTCTGGTAGTCAGTCTTCCATTAGGAGAAACAACTGATGCCTGTTTTCCCCTCCTTTCGAGTGTGGACAGGGTTTCCTTCCTGTTGATTAATTCCCAAGTTGCAAAACACAAACTGGTGTACAGTTTCCTAAATACTGAACCCTACTTTATGCCAATTTTGAAGTGATCACAGAAGGGATCCTTAGGAGGTCACCTAGTGTCAACGCTGAATTCCGATTGGATTGCTTATCTAAATCTGATCTTGAATATCTCCAAGGACAGAGAGCCCACAATCTCTTTGGGCAACCTGAACCAGTGCTTAAATAATCCTCAGAGCAAGAGTTTTTCCTTTCTTTCTAGTTGGAACCTCCTATTTTAATGATCATTGTCTCTAATCCTCCTGCCATGTACTTCAGTACTTTAGCCTGGCTGCACCTTCTCAGTACGCTCCTCATAGGTATGGGAAGCCACTTTTGGGTATCTCCTCAGCCTTTCCCTCTCCAAGCTCAACAAACCCACAGGTCAGGAGCTCCAGCCCCTGACCCTCTTCTGGGAGACTCAATCAAGTTTGTCAACACCCTTCTTGTGGTATTTCAGATGAGGTCTAACAAGTGCAGAGTAAAAACGAATAATCGCTTCTGTTGCTATAGTGCCTACCCTTCTGTTGGGACAGTCCAATACAGAAGGCATCATTAGCAGGATGCACTAGTCACTCATTCTTAGCCTGTTCTCCACCACAACCCCCAGATCCTTTTCAGCAGCGTTGCTCTCCAGCCAGTCAAGTCCCCAGCATGTACCACTGCAGGGGTTTAGTCCTTGCAATTCTAGTTGCAGGACTTGGCATTTGTCCTTGCTGAATTCCATCAGGTTCCTGTTGTCCCATTCCTCCAGCTTGTCTACCTTCCGCTGAACAGAAGCCCTCACCTTGAATGTATTAACCACACCACCCACTCTAGGATCACTCACAAACTTCACAAGGGTACAAAATGTACTATTTGACTCTATTGTTACCGTATCTATCCAGAATCAAGAGTAACAGAATTAGGCCTATGCATTTTTTTGCTAAACATATAGCTTCACGGGCAGTTGAGTCAACTTAACTGACCATTATGACTGAAAAAGATGGTCTAACTCCCTGCCTCATCAATCACTGTTTCTACTGCATAGTCCTGCTCCCTGTCTTGCACTTGTTTTGACACATATTTGACTCTTAACTTACCAGCTGTAATACTAAACAGCAGGACCTTGCCCATTTTTGCTGATGTAGCTTTCCAAGACAGTGAACTCCATTGATTCAGAGATGTCTGACAAGCACCCAAAATGAAAAGTGGCAGAAGCATACAGCAGGAGAGGATCTTACTGGTTGTTACACTGTTTATTATGAAACTACTCTCAGAATGACAGGTCTCATACACCAGGCCGAGGAGAATGGCCACTCTTGTCCCGTTCTGTTCTCTCTGTCCAACATAGCAGACTCCTAAAAGCCCCTAGCTCTCCCAAACCCTTTGAATAAAAGAGGAGATAATTCATCTTGAATTTCTGGATTTTGCAGCCACTATGAATATATTTCAATGATTTACCAGCCTTTTTACCTGAAGTGGCGCTGCTGACTCATTTTCTTTGCTTATTTCTATCCAATCCTCATTCTCTGGAGACAAACTTTGCATTACCTATACTTTCAATGTCAAAATCTGGCCTCATGGCAGATTCAGTGTAAAAGACCTGGGTATAACTTAGGTGAGAGGGATATTCACAGAAGGCAATATCCTTTGACTCGAATTACCTCCAAAACTGTAAATTTAACAGCATTACAAAAAGGTATAAATATCAAAAGCAGTAATCATTGTACATATACCGAGTACACAATTTTTCATTTCACCTATAGCTCTCCACACAGACCACGTGAGACATTAAATGAGATGTGGCTCTGTCAAATTCATTCTTCCTTCTTTATTCCATTCCTCGTCTCAAATAAATTGAGTAACTAAATTATTAAAATACATCTTATTCTAATAAGTTTCTCTTCCCAGAATTGTTTCATGCAGAATTAACACTATTTTAATGCTATCAGTTTTCTATGAAGTACAGAATCTAAAATTTCTAATCTTGTCAATGAAGCATATGGATATCAATATCCTACAAAGATTTTGAAAAAAAATATTTGAAAAGCCGAAGAAAAAACACATTAAAATACTGCTACTATTATTAGAGTTGAATATAGTCAAGAGCTAAATTTATTAAATGGCAAAACTGAGCTAATATTCATAATATTAATTTGATGCTTCCTTCCTTGGTAAACAGAATGAAATGCAATTTATACCAAATTTTTCACCAATGCGTAACAATGCATACAAAATGTAATTCCAAAACACCAATTAAATGAATACTGAAATATTAAAAAAACCTCATCTGCTAATACTATCAGTTAGCATGAGAAATTTTTGCCTAAGTTATTATAAGTTTGGGAAAGTTAAAAATAATCAATAACAGTACGTGTTGAATAGCACACAAAGATTACTTGAAATTAAATTGGTGTCATGTAAAAGCATAAAAATGTTACTAACAAAACACTCAAGCTACAAACTTGCCATAAACATGTAAACTTTTTAGACTTAAAAAAATTAAGACATCCAATAGATATTTTTACATAGTATTGCAATATAAGATTCAACTCATACCAACATTTTGTTGAAGTTAAACATTAAATTAGCTTTCAGAAATCTGTGTTCCTCTCTCTCAAACAAAACTATCAGAGTATCAGAATATCCTCCTCACTCTCTACATGATAATTCTTAGAGAAACACAGAATTCATGCTATTAATACAGTTAACAAACAGTTTAAGTTCAAAAATTATCTCAATTCTGCTGCCCACATTTAGAAAAAATGAGTTGTACTAAAAAAAGTAATGGTCTACATTGGATAGAATTTTTTTTAAAAATTAGCAGTTCATTTTTTTCTGGCACATCTTATCATAGCACCATTACTTCTATACAAAAACAGCCACTACAATTTTCTTAAAAATTAAAACTGAACTCTAGTTTCCCTACTAAATACATTTCCATAAATCTAGTTTGCAGAAAACCAATACACTTAAGTTCATTTCAAGTGATGTAACAAAATGACCTTCTATTCAGCCCATCAGGAGAAAGCAACAAAATACACCAGAACAACTGTATCGTCAAAATCTTCTCTTGGAAGCCCGTAACTGAAAATAACTACCAATGTCAAAAAGTCAGTTTAAGTAGCTGCCCTCAAGAGCAAGTTACATACTGATCTGCAAAGATGTGACAGAGGTAAAAGTATAAAAACATCAGCATCTTATACATTATGCTATGTCACTAATGATAGAAAAGTGTTTATATAGTCTGTAAAAGGTTACAGATAAGATCACGATATCTTTACCAGAAAATAAGTTTTCCTGAAAACATTATACATTTGTACCAAGACGTTTAGTGGAAAACTTAATAATTCACCGTTATCAAGCTACTTACCTGAGAGATAAAAATTCTTTTGATCATCTTGTTCAGTGAACCAACAAGAAAGAGCTCTGACAGCCAACCAAAAGATTACTCATCCTGCTATAATTACAATTAATTCAAAAATGAAAGGCTTGGATAAAGAAAAGGTTTTCCTGGGAAATGTGTGAATACACAAGCAAAGTTTGTTTGCAATATTTAGCCAAGCTTTCCTTATTCCTTATCCAGAAGTGACAGTGTTATTAAATTTAAGATAATCTTACATGGTATTGTACAAAATTTTTTTAATCAATTGGTCCCAACAAGACAGAGTATTACCTGCTATTACTGCTTTGTATCAGCAAAGAGTATTAGTATCAACAAGAGTACACACTGCTGCTGAAATGGAGGTTCTGATACATACTTACTGCTTATAAGGTTTAGATCTGCTCAAGTATTAACCACTTCGCTCCCTCAGTTTCTACTTCCAATACTATCAAAAAGATTCCAAAGGATTCAAGCCCCACATTATCTTCAAAAACAGAAATAAGTTGACTCCATAAAGCTAAACCAGTTCAGAATAAAACTTCTTGTTGGAAAATACCAAACTAAACAGGAACACACAGAAAATACCTACATCTGTAGGCCGTGACTTAGGATCCCTTATCTCTACCAGATCTCCCTTTACCCTGACAGCTCCATATGCCTCCTTCAAAAGAAAAATCTGTTGATTTATAAAAGGCTAGAACTTTTCAGCTCCTGGATTTACTTTACTTTTTCCAAATTGTCTCTATTCTACTGATGCACACTTTTTTTTTTTTTTGGTGAGGATATTCCAGAACAGTATGATAAAACAAAAATCTGATGGTATTTTCTGCATGCACTCAATTCTTTAAGGTTTATGATGGAGCAAGAATCTTCAAAGACACTTTCTGATATCAACTTCTCATCTCACCATCCAAAACAAAGCAGAGAAAACTGTTTTTTACACTGCGTACTTTCTAGCCTCACTCACAACTTAGATGAGTGGGTACAAAGCACCCACCAGTTATACATCTTGTATAATTTCATGAGGCAGAGATAGGGAACATTAAAAATTAAGATTAGCCCTTCAATTTGAGATTAATCAGATCTTCGAAAAAACCCTGCAATTCAGCCACAATGCAAATTACATGTGATAATACAAAAGGAAGGAGCTGAACTCCATAAAAGTACCTTAAAAGGAAAAGCGAAACAAATATGTCCTCTGTAAGAGAAATATACTGATTAGCCTCATTCAAGAGGAGTTGGAGAAGACTGCACTTCTTAATTAAAAAGATAATGCTAGTAAACACTGGTATTCAGTTCAGTTAGTACTGATAGCAAGCTGACTTGCTAAGAGACAGCTGAAGTACTGGATGACTCCCCAGGGCCCAGCAGCTGATACAACAGCTTTATCAAATGGGAATGGTACCATTCTGGACTCCAGCCTGAAGCCAACAGATCCTGACTTGCCTTCTGCAGACTGATCATCTCCAAAACTGTATTTTTGGAATTTTCTCTCAGACAGACTCACATCACTGACTTTGAGACTATCTCAGCACAGGATTTGAAGGCAATGCAAGTGAACATCTTCCTCTCTCAAAGGCAACAAATACATTCTGTCAGAACACTGCTTGAGACCTACCAAATACCTGCAGAATATTAACCCAATATAAAAATAATACACAACAAAAATAAAACTCCCACAGCCAAATATGGAAGTTGAAAAGAACTTACACAGAATCCAGAATAGGAGAGAGAAAATTGTAACACAGATCAAAAGTAGAAGTTTTGTTCCATCTTTACCAAGTGCTTAACAGAAACTGCAGGACAACTGTCTTCACAGCCACAAACAAAGCATGCAGATGGCACAATGTTTGTCCAGGTTACACATATGGCTAGAATCAAAATTCTCCAGCTTTCAGTAGCTGCACAACAGCATCCTAGGATGAACTGACATATACTGAACCAGCTAAAGGAAAAGCAGTACCTCCTGAGTCACCACTTTTGAGGAGCCCCTCACATTTTGAACACATCAGCAGCTTAACTAAACACCTTATCCTTCAAAGACAGGTCATTAGAGGAGAATAAAAGTGTTAAATCTTCTGGGTGCTTGAGTTATTTGATGACTATGAGGAAAAAAAGACAAAGAACCATGTTCCCACATTATTATAGTTCTCTCTCTCACCCCATAAACGGATGAAAATCCTTTGGGAGAAATACTAGACTTTCTTTCAAAAGTCTACCATAAAGTCAACGAATATCAGACAACATTACTTTTAATATAATTTTCATTAGATCTGGATTTATAATTTTGTTGTTTGAAAGTATTCTTACAAAGTTAAACGTGCTCAAATTTAAGATACTACTTTTAGATTCTACAAACTCTTCAAAAAGTCATTTGGCCTTCATTACTGGTGAATGTTGTTTTACATAGCTATACATAGTAGCTGTATGTAGCCATTTATAAAGAACACAAATTCAGACAGTGACTCACCCATAAAATTATGGTGGTTTGTTTTTTGGGGTTTTTTTGCTACATATAATAGCAAACACAAAATATATATTAAACTGTCTATATCATTCTATTACTCCTTGCCCTTCTTCCTCCTTCCCCATTTTTTCCTGGGTGAGGTGGGGAAAGCAAAAGCAAGAGGAAAGAAAATACAGCTCTTACCTTTAGGCAAGGAATCAATAGGAGGTAAAGGTTAAAGACAGATTTATACTTACATCTCTGACTCCCAAAAGATCAGTGCCTGAGGTTTCACCTAATTTTTTTGATTACAATAATGCAGCATATAAGTCTTCAAAAACAGCTGTTAGGCTCACCACCTGCAGTAGTTGTTCTGGAAGCAGTACTTTTACAGATGGTAGTAAAACTGAATTTTAGTTTAAGAAAGAAAACCCTTCAGTTTTACTCTTGCTAAAACTGTTACTGTCATCTTACAGCCAAAATTGTATTACAGAACTAAGAAAACATTGAAAAAAGGTCCTGTTTTACTTTATGCTAAACAATATCAAACTGCAGACACCCATCAAAAGATGGTCCTGCTCATGTTTCAGCTCCAGTCTCACGCTCTCATTTGCTTCAAATATAGCAATATAACATTTATGCAACGTCAGAGCAAGCAAGATCTACGCACTAACTGAAAACTGGTGCTCGCCATCTTTAAAAACAAAAAAGAAAAAAACCAAACAAAACCCAACCACAGGTCACTCCTAAACCTCAAAACAACTCCCCACTCCCAAAGGTAGCCTTCTGTTGGACCAGCAAGATCATCCTACTCGCCTCATGGTCACACAGTAAAAGGCTGAAAGCAGCAAGAGAGGGGACAAATACACAACCAGGGAGAAAGGAGAGAGATGAAAACCATACAGTGAAATTTCACCCTAGTGCAAACACATATATGTTAATATTTTACCTTAAACTGGAAATCTGCAAGTTAAACAAATTGCTTAACATTTTTCATATAGAATTACACAGTATTTAGAAAAGAAATGTTTCCATCTCTGTAACAAGTTAAAATGCAAAACTAGGTTTACCAGCAAATAAAGAAAGCAAGCTGACTAATCAAGCCATACCAAGTACCTGTTTCCTGCAATTGGAAAAAGTGGATTTCAGAGCTTTTTAATATATGAAGTAAAATACAATGGCAAGTGAGACATGCAAGACTGGAATGCCATTGGGTTAAGAGTCATTTGGCATTAGAAAGGGATACTTTCTGAAACTGGTATCAGTTTTTTAAATTATAGGAAACAAATGTTAAACTTCCAGTGTTTGTCAAAAAGAAATTAAATATTTGTGTAAATAAAGACAAAAGACCATCACATATTAAACATACAATTTAGAGAACATATTCTACCTTTAAAATGTGCTTTTCCCATAATTATTTATTTCTAGGATAAAATTCTAACAGTATTTTAAAACAGAAAATGAAAGACTTTACTTGTTATGCAAAGTGGAAAAGTCCTTCCTCCAATAGTTCTCCTATCTTACCTGTATCTTCAATGAATTGCACACATTTTTCAACAAACAGAGGTATCGGTTTCTCAGGTGTAACCAGATCCTGTAGGGGCATCCCAAAGTAATTACTTTCCCAGTTTCTGCGGATTGGAGGATTGAATGTCTTAGTTTTCTTTTTCGGCTACAACAAAACAGAGTTATTTAAGTAATATTCAAGTAGTATTTTAACTAACTCATATTGCAACCATTCAGTAAAAACAAACAGATCATACATCTATCAGACATTAAAATTCCTCTATGGCAAACCGAACAAAAACAAGTGTACATTTAAAATAGCATACATTAGATAAAAAGCACTCAAATAACTTCTAATAGATTTGGTCATTTTTGTAGCACATTAGGAACAGGATGACTCAATGCACCAGTAATTAAAATTTTATAGGAAGAAAAATAAACACACTACTTGTTTAGAGTGCTATGACAAGTCTTTACATACTAACTTACAGCACCACTCACATTTGAACCACATCTCTATATAGAAATTTTTAGGATAAGATTGTGAAGTGTCATATCACAAAAAAAATTGAGTGTGTTCTGTATGCGTCTCATTAAAGATACTAAGTAATATTTATATTGCAACTATGCTAGAAACATGATGATGCAGAATGTATAGCAATCAATCTCAGAGTTAGAGTTGCAGGCACTCCTGTTAAGCATGATTGCTTCGTTACAGGCACAGGATTTTAACCAAAATGAGCTTTGCACCCAATCAAATCTAATAAGACGATGAGTTTCATATAGAGTTTTCTTGCTTATTTTGATTTCCCTCCCCGCCCGCCCACAACAGGGACTTTTATCAGTTCAACTGATAAATCACCTTTGGATGATTACAAGAATTATATTGTATCAGATACCATGTTTCATCTCTGAATGTTGATGAAAATATTCAGAGATGGCCATACAGAGTGGTCAATCAATTGGCTGTACAGTGGCAACTGAATGTGGAAACTGAATGAACATGACTATTAAAATCTAGCATTTTATCTTGAGGTTTATATACAGTAAGAAGTTAGTTAAAAGCAGTTACATTTTCATATAAAAGCTCTTCAGTCAACATCTAATAGTACAAAATAAAAGAAAAACAAAATGCACAACAATCAGATTTGAATTTAATAACAAGGTTTCTAGAAGTTTATAATAAGATTACACGTCAATTAACTATTAAGACAAAACATGTCTCATTTCTATGTTTTACATTTAGAAAAGTCTTGAATTTCAATCTCTTTGTGTAAAAAAAAAAAAAAACCACCCAAACACAGGTTAACTTCTAGACTTTTGTACCATCAAATTTACTTAATCAGTCCTTACAGACTACCTAGAACTTCAAGTTAGCAAGGTACATATTCATGATTGACTTGCCCACTGAGAATTAATGAGCTGAAGTTGAACTCTATGGGGTAAGTGGAAACTACAGCCTAAAGAACATTTCTCCAACTGTCACCCTACAGCACCTGTGGAACTTCCCCAACACTTGACAAAAAAATCTGTTAATCAAAGCCTTTCAATAACCTAATTAAACAAGTAACACTTTTTATGTGGAATGTCTCTTTGTAAGACAGCTTGTGCTTCTTGAAATCAGCAGCAGAGTACCCGTGATTGACCACGGTAACAGAAGGCTAACAAAAAGTTAGGCTTATCTTTCAAATTTGGGATTTCTATAAAAGGTTTGGCACTTATAATTTAGAAGGAAGGAACATTTATTAGAGAGTTCTTCAAAACATTAGAAAGAAATTGCTCTCCAGCAATTCATGTCTTCCCAAGTTTTACATTAACTGAAAATTTAATAAGAAGTTTAGAAAAAAAAGCGTAGGATAAAACTTTAGGATAAACTTTCATGACTAAAGCAGACAATCTCTCAAAGCATTCTTTTCAACTGTAAACTCTTTGCATAATTTCTATTCATCTCGGATGAGATATTGATGGTTCAACCAGTATGTGCCTTCAGATTAGAAACAGCTTTTTCTTCCTTCCTTCCTTCCCATTGCGACAAGTGCCCTGCTTTGAAGTCCCCAGTACTCTACCTAGTTCATTGGCCATTTTCTCTTTAGTGGCAAAATCGTATTTATTTAGGCAACAAATGTATCCAGTTCTGATGAGCAGCAGCTGAAAGGGCCAAGCTGAAGCTGAAGAACACGTAAAACTCAGCAAAAACATTTTTGTCAAATGTTGAATGTAAGATCATTTTAGAGATACATAAATTAACGCAATGAAAAAAAGCAAAAACAAATTGAAATTATTTTTTTCCAAGGTGTTCGGTGCACATCCCCACCATCTTAGAATAAATGAAGCAACACTCAGACCCAGCAGATAGAAAAAGACTGTGTGTGTCTCTTTGATTAAGACATAACATAATTAAATATAAACAAATTTTGTTGGTGTGAGTGGAAAGCAGTCTGGTTAATGGAATAATAAAGTAGGATTTTACAGAATTTTTATGACAATTATAATAGTAATGAATACTATTATCTGTGTAGAATACCTGGAAATAGTATGAAATATCAAATATGTCTGCAAAGCCAAAATAAAGAATGTTTTTCTCTAATAATTGTCCTGCATTTAGAAGAATGGTTGTAAGGGACTGAGATATCAAGTATGACATTATACACTCAAAAAAGCAGAAATGTTTCTTAGATGAAACGTCTACCTGAAACAGCTTGGAAAGTGAGAATTTGTCTAAAGAATTTAAAGAGGAATAAAGAATAAAAGAAAAAAGAAAAGAAAAGAAAAAACCTCTGAAGTCCTTTTCAAACTGATCTAGAATTAGAGTAGGAGAAGAGATGATCATTGCAGGCCTATTCCATAAACATGAAACTAGGATTTGACAAGGCAGACAATTGTGAAAATTATAATTTTATCAGCTATTTCCCGTTATGTATCATTATGTATTTTGTCTCTCTCCTGTCCAATATTTACTAAAATATCTCTCTTATGATTTCCCTTTTTTTTTGCGGCATGTGAGCGGGTAAACTCTCCAATGACAGCACAGATCAAATCTTCCTGGAAATAACACCATCTGTACGATCTTCACAAAAAAATACTTCCACAAATTAACAACAAAACCTTATGGTATTAAAAACCCACCATGTTATTTCCTGATTTGTGACTTCCATACTTTCCTGAAGTTGCATGTCTAGACTTAAGCGGAGAACTTGTTCTGAACAAAACGGCATGTTACTACGCAAAAGACCTGATCTTTGTCAAAAGATCAACTGACTTCAGGAAAAAAATACAGGTCTTATTTGTAACAAAAATAAGCTTTAGTGAAACCTTTTTTTTTTAATCCCTGTTACCCACTCTGAGAAAGTAGCAGCTTTTCTGATCCATCAGTCATAGCATGGAACTTTAAAATCTGCTAGTCAAGATAATGAATATCATAAATTTTTCTGTGTAAAATTAACTTTTAAAAGTTCTCTAATGAAACAATATTTAAACAAAAACACTGTTAAGCATTATATTATTAATTTAGTTAAACAGCACCTGAAAAAGGTGAATCATTTCTAAATTCCTAGATTTTGGTGAAGATATTATGATGTTGCCACAGGTATTTTTAGTTCAATAGTTCTGCCCAATACACCTACTCCCCACGATTCGGCAGTCACCTAATACTGCATACCGCAAGCACTAATCTAGGCAAAGACAATTTTCTATGCTTCTTCTACATCATAATAAAGAAGGACTAATAGGCACTAAGTTAGAGAAGACAAGAACCATCAGAAAAGTTTTGTTAGTTATTCCTAGCAAAAAGCTCATTGTTTCACATACCACTGTTTCATGTTAGTAATTAAAACACAAGCCCAACACCATAGAGCTGAAATCCTTAGTTTTCATATAAATCTGTTTTTTTTATAATTGGTTGCTGCACTAAAGTTGAGCTTTCCAGCATGGGTTTCACCACTTGCTTCTTGCCAAAGACAACTTCTCTTCATACCCTAACAGAGCTTAATGCCAAACCTCCAGCTGATCCTTACATATTTTGGCAGGAAAGCATTTTAACTCTGAGAATCCCAAACTTGCCTTGCATTGCTGATACCAAAAGCATTTACCTGCAATACTGCTTTAATTACTGTAGTTTAATCACTGAAATGCGTTATAAAAGATTAGCTGAAGTCCTCTTAATAAAAGACAAGGTAAACATGAAAACATGTATTCTAGCATGGCACAGTACCCAATTCTTGATTTCAAAACTAGAAATATTATTATAAAAAGCACAAAACTGTGAAAATGTAGATTTTAAGTATACTCAAGATTAATTCTCTTGACTGTAGGTACCAGCTAAGCAGCACTCATCTTCTAGAGAGAAACTAGGCTGAGACTTCAGCCAGCTGTGAGTCTTGAGAGTACAATGCACTTAAACCTTTTAAAATTAACTTAGAAAACTAAAAAACTACCCAAACCTATCTATCAAGCTCCTTTATGGATGGGCTGCTTAGTCTAGCAAGTCCTCTCTGTTCAAGAGCGGCTCCCCTTCTTTTTTTTTCCTCTCACTTCCATCCCACCAAAACCACCATCATAATTTATTTATCAAAGGGGGAATTCAGCCATTTCTCAGCCACCTCCCATACACTTCACTACTACTTTTAATACAAAGGAAATTTTCTGCCTGCTTCATTTGCAGTCAGCCCTAGAGTCATGGAGGGCAAAGTCAATATTTTCAGGACTATTAAAATACTTCATAAAAGCATGTACCATGAACAGCATTCATTTTATAGGCTTAATAAAGTATTTGTAATCTCTAATTCATGGCTAGCTCATCAGAAACTACACGACATATGAATTATGCAGATGATGGTCCCTAACATGCTCTCTCTTTCTTCCCCTCATGCCTTCTGCCATTTTTAGAGTTCCAGCTTGTTACACTAAGTTTTAAACTACAGAGGCTCAAGAAGGCATATGGCTCCAAATATGCATTTTAAGAGTGCTAAATTTGAACAGATGAAAACTGAAAGTACAGATTTTGATATTTCCTATACTCCTCTGAAGGAGGGGGAGGAGGAAGAAAAAAAAAAAAAAAAATCACTGCACACTCCAGTCTGAAGTAGACAGTACTTCCCTAAGTCAACCACTGAATTTACACAAGAACAGCTGAACAAAAATGTAAGCTGATCTCCCACTTGTCACATG